ACACGGCACATGGCTCCCCCAGGGAGGCGAACAGAGCCCTGAATTTTAGTAAGTCAGACAGGAACAAGAAGCCCTGCTTCACAACTTCAGGAAAAACTTAACAGTATCAGCACACTTCTGTCATCCTCTGTGAAGGAAAGAATGGAACCAATTTCCCTCTGTATCTTTGAGAGGTACCAAATATAAAAACAATCAAAAAAAAAAAAAACCAACATAAACACCATTTGTATTTGGGTAACTTACCCTAACCAAAGACTTCATGTTCTGGGAGGAAAAAATTGCCAATGAATGGTATTCATTAAGTACTATTTAATTCTTATCTTATTTTTATAGAAAAAAAGATATATATATAAAGATGCTGATCAAAGCTATTAATTGACATGAGATAACCAATATATAAATATATAATTCCTGCTAAAAAGGCAAGGACATTTGATGTTTTAATTAGTCTCTGCAGGTTTATTGAAAATAAATTGAAATCTCCTTTAGGTTTTAGAAACACAGGTAATCCTCAACCAACATGGGTTTAAACTGCGCAGATCCACTCATAACTTACATGTGGACTTTCTTCTGCTTCTGCCACCTGTGAGGTAAAAAGATCAACCCTCCTCTTCTTCCTCAGCCTACTCAACATAAAGATGACAAAGATGAAGATCTTTATCAGGCGTCTCAAACTACGGCCCTTAGGCCACATGCGGGTGTTTTTGCCCGTTTGTTTTTTTACTTCAAAATAAGATATGTGCAGTGTGCATAGGAATATGTTCATAGTTTTTTTTAAACTATAGTCCAGCCCTCCAATGGTCTGAGGGACAATGAACCGGCCCCTGTTTAAAAAGTTTGAGGGCCCTTGATCTTTATGATGACCCACTAATAGACAGTAAATATATTTTTCCTCTTCCTTATGATTTTTATTTCTTTTCTCTAGTTTATTACAGAAATACAGAATATAGTACATGCAACATACAACATATATGTTAGCTATGTTATCTTACAGTAAGGCTTCCAGGCAACAGCAGACTATTTGTAGTTAAATTTTGGGAGAGTCCAAAGTTATACACATATTTTCAACTGTGTGGGGAAAGAAGGTTGGGGGTATAAGATACCCTATACCCCTAAGTTGTTCGAAAGTCAACTATACTGAAAATAACTGGTAGATCCTATTTCCACACTTGCCAAAACCTCTAAGGACAGAGAATCCTGGCCTGGGAAGCAGAAAATCAAGGGCTTGTTTCCCTGAGGCACGCCCTGGCACAAAGTGTAACTTCACACACTGGCTGGGCCACCCAGTCCCAAGGGCCCAGCAATTATAAACGCTGCCTACAAACACCCCAATGATACTCCATCCAACTGCAGGCCCAAGGTTCCAAGGCACCTGGAGAAAGGCTTCAACTATGACTGCAGCTGGATGAGCGCTTGTACTTGGCACAGAAAATACCCACCCGTCCCCAACTGTAAATACCACACTGGTATTTCCCTGGACCAGGCCAGAAAACAAAGCAAAGCGCTCCGGACCAGAGGCCAGCAGGGCCCAACCATGGCTGTGGCCGGTGCTGCAGCCCCATGCTGACGTCTGCAGCTGACTCCCCTCCACTTGGACATGCTCTGCATTGGGCTGGGAACTGCTGCCAAAATTCTGTCAGGCCTGCAAGCTGGAGAGGCTGGGGTGTCGCCACTGCACAGACCACCCTTCTTGCAAGCAGGGTTTAACAAATGCCCAGGTCGGCTGAGGAAGGGCAGGGTATCGAGAGCTAACCCAAATAGGGCTCCTGTTTTGTGGACCTGATTGCAGGGACAAAAGGTTCACCCACCCCACAGGCTACCCAGGTATACAAAAGGACAGACTCCAAAATGCAAACAAATGGGTTGGTGGCAGGGGCCTACATGGTGAACCCGCCACCCTCAGAGAGGACAGAAAGGGGTGTGCTCCATGGCATGAATATGTACATATTTTTATGTGGCCTAGCATTCAAGCAGTTCTTAATGAGAGCTGTTTGTTTACAGCTATCATCACCCACCATAATTATCAAATCATTGAGCCTGGACAGACAGCATAGCCATAAAGCATCAACATATTCTTTATACTGAGCCAACTGTATGACAACAGGATAGCTGCCACCTCCTACCAGCAACTATCATTCCTCTCCCCCAAGCCAGGAGATGTCACATCTAAGCCCAGGGCTAGGGTAGAACTGAACATAACAGTCTAGGCTAACCCACCAATAACCTAGAAATATTTACCTTAATTTCCCACTCCCAGCTTCTTGAGGGAAGTCAGCACAAACATGTGACTTCTGATATACAAACTTTTGGTGGGGACTTTGGACACTCTCTTTCTCCTTCCTCTCTAACCAGAGTTCTAGGTGGAAATACATTTTTTGATGAAGTATTTCATCTACTAGGGCTGTTTTGGGCTGAATTGTGTCTCCCAACTCCAAATCCGGATTTTGAAGCCCTAATCCTCAATACCTCAGAATGTGACTAAAACTAGAGAAAGAGCCTTCAAAGAGGTGACTGCCGTGAGGCTGTTGGGGTAGGGCCTAATCCAACTGGAGTGGTGTCTATGGGAGGAGATTTAGTCACACAGAGACACACTGGGGGCGCCAGTGCACAGGAAAGACCATGTGAGAGAACACAATGAGTGGGAAGGCCATCTACAAACCAAAAGAGGCCTCAGAAGAAACCAAACCTGCCAACACCTTGATCTTGGACTTCCAGCTTCCAGAACTGTGAGAAAATAAATTTCAGTTGGTTTACACCACTCAGGCTATGGAACTTTTCGTATGGCATCTTGAGCTAACACAAGGGCCTTCTGAGCTACTAAGAGCCTCTGGACAATTAAGAGAGACTAGAGCAGGCCAGAGTCCAGAAATGCATTGTCCAATAGAGTGGCCACTAGCCACATGTGGCTTTTTAAATTTAAATTTATTAAAATTAAGTAAAATTTAAAAATTCAAGTCAGGGGGGTGGTGCACACCTCTAGTCCTCCCAGCTACTTGGAAAGCTGAGGCAAAAGGATCAACTGATCCCAAGAGTTTGAGGCTGCAGTGGGCTATGATCTTGCCACTGCACTCTAGCCAGGATGACAGAGATTCCATCTCTTAAAATAAAAACTAAAATTTCAGTTCCTCAGTTGCACTAGATTAGAACATTTCCAGGTCCAGAAAGAAGACTCTAAATCTGAGAAAACATTCCAGAAGAACTTTTTCTAACCCTTCCAGGTCCAGAAAGAAGACTCTAAATCTGAGAAAACATTCCAGAAGAACTTTTTCTAACCCGGCTCTCCCAAGGAGGAAGACAGGCAACGAGGAGAACAAACAGAGTGAGTATACACCTGTTGCTCAACGCCCAAAGAAAAAAAAATAGGACTCTTAGCCTTTTATTGGGCATTACCAGTATGAGGAGATAATTAATAAAACCTTCTTCTGATTAATTCTGAACCTAAAAAGCAAGATTTTTTAAATTACTGCAAGACAAAATTGTGTACTCAAGCAAGCAGCAAGCATTTACTGAGTATTTACAACTCATGAGGACACTTTGATAGGCAGAGAAGAAACACCAGAGCATGTTTTTGCCTCAAGGAGTAAAATGTCTAAAACTGTAAACATTAGAGAAAACAGGTAATGAGGGCCTCAGGAGTTCAGAAGGCGGCACTCCCAAAGGCTGGGACAGGTGGTTTTACCTGCCTGCACTTGGGAACAGACCCTCCATACCTCTCCCTCTACTCTGAAGCCCCTACTCCCTCCCCTTCTCCTGCAGCTCCCACCACCTGGCCCAGAAAGTCCCAACTCCTTAGCTCCTCATCCCAAACCCTTCACACCTGATACCCACCCCCCCATAAATGCCAATCCTAGTTCCCACTGCTCCCTGCCTGAACCCAAGTGCCAACCAAAACACCACATTTGAGTTGTTTTTCATGTTCCTGGACCCACCCCTGATCAGCATGACTTCTGCAGCAAGCAGCAAAGCCTTGCCTTCTATTAATAATTTGCAGCTTTTGATCTGTTGAAAAGTTAGCGACCAGAAAACTAAAAACAACTCTATTTGCCTAAAAACTATTTCATCCTTCAGGACCTGACTAACCTTCATCTCCTCATTTCCTTGGCCCTCCCCTCCTCTGAATTTGCATGTTATCTGTTTCCCCAGCACACCAAAAAGACTTCTCTATTGCTGCCCTGATGACTTTCACATCAGAGCTGTTCTCATCGTGTCTAAAGCTGAGTTCCTCGAAAGCAGGCCCAGTTCCTTTCTCATAGCACAGCACAGCAAGCATTCTTTCAAGATTTCCAGAGTTTAATTTGTAATGTAAAACATAAGCTAATGAGCTGAAGCTCAGGCACTGTGCTAGGTACAAAATTCCCTTCTGTTATCTAAGGAGAGCTCTTCCCTGAGTAGTCTGTTAGCTTCTCAATACAGACACTGTGTGACATTTATTTTGACTGCCTGGAAGCCAACTAACTTCTGGTTCTCAGCTGCACTGTGAAAACATGAGGTTGCCAGAGAGCTGAGATACAGACAGCAATAGTATTAAATACAGTTATGTTAAAACCAAGTGAAGAGCAGGGACTTGCAATCTATTAAGTACCTGTACTCAATATTTCCCATCACACTAGGCAGTCCTCAATCTCTCCTTGTATCGAGTTGAACTAGTTAATGATTACCTGGCTTTGATTAAGTTCCCTTTTCATTAAGAGCAACTGTGAAGTACCATAAACGATGTTTAGGAAAACCAGACACACCACTGACTCTTGGAACTGGATCATTCATCCCTGGATAACAAACAAGGAAGCCTCAGGAATGCCTGCCTACAGTCAACCTTACCCGGTAAGATCTGGTTACAGACCTGCAGTATCACACTCAGATGTGTTTCTCCAGGCCTTGGCTTTCTCTGACCTGCCTGATATGCAAAGGGCCTCAGCTATTTAAAGCATTACATTAAAAAATCATGTTTTTACACTGACCCAAACCCTGGCAGGCTCCAAGAACAACAAAGCAGGACTTACTGCCATTGTCGTCAGAATCCTCACTGCTGCTGGGAAGGCGACCTCGTTTCATGATCTCCCCGGGAAACAGCAGGCAGCCTGCAAAGCAATGAGACAGCACTTAACCCAAGATGATAATACACAATCATCAAGTTGTGCTTCAGATGGCAGCCCAGGATTTACAGCAAACAAAAGGCTTTAAGTAGTATTTGAATTGTAAACAGTAAAAGACCAAAGATAATTAGGTGCAATCATTAACAGACCAGGTTAAAAAAGGAGGGGGAGGGGTACGGAAGTCACGTATCATTTGGGCTCCCAAAGGTGCCAGGTTTCTTTCTATATCCCTGTGACATTACTACAACTACTCCAGGAGTCTAGCTGACTGGTGACAAGCACTGCAGAAAAATATTCACAGCAATGAACACTGTACTGTGCTTCCTCACTACAGACAGATTCATATTTTATGCTTGTATGTGGGGGGTGGGGTGGAGTTGTGCCTGAATGTGTGAGTATTTATACTGCACTGAGCATGATTATGCTTCTCAGGCAAAATTCGCTAAAATAATCCTAAAAGCCAGATAACCTAGTCTAGAAACAAAACAAATGGGGTAATGGGAATGCAAATGTTTCCTCTAGCCATCTCCAACCCCTCAGCAATTCACAGCTGGAACAGGAAGGACCACAGACATCATAATTCTGCTCCAGACCCCTCCCTTTTACATTAGGAAAGGAAAGGTTAAGCAGTGACTTCCCCAAGGTCATACTGAGAGCATGGAGCTTCTAATTCTAAATCCAATACTATTTTCACTCCACCTCACCCTGACTCCTTTCAGGACGGATACAACCAAATCCAGCCAAAATAAGAAATCAGTTTGTCTTATACAAATAACCAGCCCACCTGGCCAACTCCTCCCAGGTAGCTGGTGGTAACAGAACTTTAGCACTATCCTTAAAAGAAAGACTACATTTAGGAAAAGGGCAGTGGACCCAGATGGAATGGCTAGTCACTGGACTTCCATGATGATCTATCTCATGGTTATACTCACACAGGGCAGCCCTCTGAACAAAACCAAAAAGCTTTTCCAAACTAAAATTATTGATCACTCTGATATCTTTAGGGCCTTGATCTTACTCCTGGGTCAATGATTCCCCAAAGAGGAAGGACAGCTTTTTGAAGTCAGAAAAAGTATGGTGGCCTGCCACCTATCCATCTGCCCCCTCAGAAAAGTGCATCCCAACATCCTCCTCACTGGGAATCCCAACATGTAAAACGCAACGCAGTGTTTCCAATGAAAGTGCGGCACACAGGAATAGCTTTCAATGAAAGTGTGCCACACAATAATCACAACATGTATAATGTGGTGTTTCCAATGAAAATATGCCACACAGGAATAGTGGAGAAAAATGTGGAGAACCACTGTACTAGAACAATAAAGTAATTGAAAAACCAAAGCTCCACTCTAAATGAACCTGTAAAAGAGCAGTCAAAAAAGCAGAAAGTGCCAGGTGCCGTGGCTCATGCCTGTAATCCTAGCACTCTGGGAGGCCTAGGCGGGCGGGCGGATTTCTCGAGGTCAGAAGTTTGAAACCAGCCTGAGCAAAGCCGAGACCGTTCTACTATAAATAGAACAATTAATTGGCAAGTAATACATATAATGCTAAAAAAATTAGCCGGGCATGGTGGCGCATGCCTGTGTCCAGCTCCTCGGAGCTGAGGCAGGAGATTGTTGAGCCAGAGTTTGAGTTGCTGTGAGCAGCTGAACCATGGCACGCATCTAGCCTGGGGCAACAAAGTGATGACTGTCTCAAAAAAAAAAAAAAAAAAAAAAAGCAGAAAGTGCACCTTACTAAAGGGGATCAAAATATGTCACTTTGGGATAAGGGTTATTTTGAGCTAACAGCAATCGAGAAAGAGCACACACAGGACGAGCTCTGCCTTGCCGCCCACTCGACTAAAGCAGAGCATACAAGTTCTCTTTGAAAATAATTCTTTATAAAGGTGTCTATCAGTTCAACTCTCATGCATATGTAACCTTATCTATCATTAGTTTCCTCCATACATTTCCTTGTCATCTTTGCACAAATTAACCTCCTAGTAGCCCAAAGGCCCTTTTCCTTTGTCTAGTCCAGGGGTCCTCAAACTTTTTAAACAGGGCCAGTCTCACTGTCCTCAGACCGTTGCAGGGCTGTTGCGTGTGCGGAGCGCATTCCACACATGTGCACTGTGGGCCGTAAGTTTGAGGATGCATGGTCTAGTCACTTAGCAACTTATTACCCTTTGTTAAAATATATGTACGAGCCGACGAGAGCGGCCACTCCTGTAATCCTAGCACTCTGGGCGGACGAGGCAGATGGATTGGCTCAAGGTCAGAGTTTGAAACCAGCCTCGAGCAACAGCGAGGACCCGCGTCTCTACTATAAATAGAACAAATTAATTGCAATAAATCTTATATATAGAAAAACTTAGCCGGGCAGGGTGCAGCTGTAGTGCCAGCACTCGAGGCTGGAGCAGGAGCGATTGCTTGACCAGGGTTGAGTTGCTGTGAGCTGGCTGACACCCGGCGACTCACCTAGCCCTGAGCACAAGGCAGACTCTGTCTCAAAAAAAAAAAAAATGGTATATCGAGCGCCCAGTCAACCCCTTTTGGGGTTTTTCACTTCTTTTCTATGACTCCTCTCCTCGCCTGCACAGAAAAAATTAAGTTTTATGCCCTTTTCTCTGTCAATCTTCTTTTGCCATTTACATCACCTCCCCCTGAAGTGAACCTCAGAAAAGTCAGTTTTCACTACAGTAACAATGGCAGTCTGTTCCACTTATGAAATGGACTTACATCATTCACTCAAGTACTCAGGCTCCTCATCTATATTTGCAATATTTTATATTTTCTTCCTGAGAAATTAACCCAGTTAAAGTTTATAAGTGTTTGTTTACCAAATGATTCTTCAAAAACCACTAAAAGAATTTACCAAGACAAAGCTTGGACCTGAGTCCTGATCTGGGTCATGAACTTATGGACACTTGGTGGGCTGGGGTTTCATACTGGAGGCAGGTTCACAATCTTAAAATTCAATCCCACCCACTTTCTGCAGAGCCCCACTCACCCATAACTCTAACACCCAGCAATCTACAACACAGACTGGAGCAAGCCAATCCCAGCCAAAAGTCTCCATGGCCAACAGATACCTGTGGCCCACTCCCTACCTGAAATGACTGTCTTCCTTGCCCTGTGCAGGCATGCCCCACACACCAACTGCTGCCGGCTGAACTCTCCTCCAACCTTCTCAAGAAGGTGTGCTCCCGCTCCCCCTGGGATCCAACAAGAGATCAAGAGAATAGGGAAAGGCAAAAGACCACCCAATCCTAACAACAGTTTCAGCTCCCCAAAGCCTGTATCACAAAAGAGCTTTAAAAAAAAAAAAACAGAAAGTACTATCTGAAGAGGAATTCCTTAAAAGTACCCATGTGATGGAACACAACAAGGAGAATGCAGTTTGCCATCTAGTAACCAGATGTGAGAACACTGAGAAATAAGAGGCTGAGAAAGCCCATAAAAATACTTCTCAGTTAGAAATAAGAAAATAATGTTTATTACATCTACACTGATTCAGACAACTTAAATTTACCTATACAGAATAGCTTAAAGAATTTAGAATCTTTTTGAAACAGTGTCTTCCTCACAGCTTTTAAACACAACTCCCTGAGAAAACACTTCAACAGTCACTAAGTGAAAAATGCAAGCACCGGCCAAAATAGAATGATGCTCCTAAACACACAAAGACTCTCTCAAGCAAAACCATACAAGTAAAAGAGTAAAAATAGTATTTTCTTTATAATGAATTCCATTTTCATCCACCCCAAAGACCTTGAGTAATGAAGGTTGAGAATGCTGTACTTAGCTTCTCCAGGGAACCTGGCACAGTAATGGTGGTTAGTGCTCGCAGAGTTTCCTCCTCTGTGGCTCTAATGTACTTAAACCTTGACATCAGGCAGATTTATCTCACCCCAGGTTACTCACTGTATCAGAAAATCAAAGTACACGTTACTATCTTCAAGACACACAATACAGAAGCTGTATGCTGCAAACATCTGCCCCACTAAAAGCCAGCACGGGAAAACAGAGGGCCCTCAACACCATTACCTGCCCTGACTCCTTCAGGGCAATGGCTGATTACTATCTAGACAGTAGGAGGATAAGTAATAATCAATTAAAAGGCTACTGCCAACACTCCAGAGAAAGCAGCAAGAAGACATAATAGCATATAATGCATCCCACAAATATCTGCAAACCTAATACGTTAGGAGGTGCTGGAGAAAAATTACTGTCCCTGACCTCATGGAGCTTCTAGCCTAGTTTAGGAGACAGGTAAGCAACAGAAATCAAGCATTGTTCGTGCATGATAGTGGTAAACACACAGTTCTACAGGAACATAGGTTGACAGAGCCGGGGGAGGATTTTGAGCTGCGTGCTGAAGAACAAAGGAGAGGCAGGCAGAAAAGGGGGCACATTTGGTGCAAAACACTGTAAAATTTAACATACACATAACCTAGCATATTACTCTATATAGCATCTTCATACTCAACATCTTACTATTTGCCCATTTCTTTACTTACATACATCCCTTCTTACCTTATATCCAATTTCCAAGGTTTATGGATTCACAACACACAACTCTTTGAGATCCCCCTACAACTCCAAAGTTTGGTCTTCAACCACCCAACCCAGATAGCTTTAAGCACCCTTCCATTCTCCAAGCCTACAGTTTCTTCCCACTTCCAATTATTATAACAAATTAATCACCGTTATGATTAATTAAGGTCATCAAGCTACTCTCTATGCAAATCTCCACTCCACACTGCAAATAGGTCTAAGTTCAACCTGTGCAGCCAGAAACTCAGGGGTTTTCTTATTCCTCCCAGCTTTACCCAAGCATCTGTCCCAGCAAGCCCCAAAGGCTAACTTGCCTCTGCTGGGCCAGGCCTCCTCCCCTGAAAACTTCCATTTCCCTCAGTTTTCAGTCTCTGCTAATGCTGTTGCTATTGCCCCTTCCTCCATACCTATCCCAATCCCTCTTTTCTGGAGCTCAGCCTGAACCCACTGAACATCACCCACCATTCCAACTCCAAGCACTTAACATTCTGTACCACTCAGTTCAACTTTTTTTCCTTTTAGAACTTTTCACCATGCTTCTCAATGTACTATTTACTTTAACAGTGTTAGTCAAAAAAATTATTCACGACACGTTAAAGATAGGAAGGCAGATTTTATTCAAGAGGGACCATGGTGACAAGTACAGGGACCATGTAATGGGGTCTTGCAGCAGGGCAGAGAGCTGAACTCAACTCAGACTCCAATAAGGACAGAGAAATACAACCAAAGCAGGGTAGCATCAGTGGATGGAAAATTACTAAACAGAAATGTCAAGGATAAAGGGTTTCTGGCTAAACTGACTTGATAGGATTATTGCTGAATGCAGGCCAAGATGGTAAGATAGGAGGGTGGTCAGATACCAAAGGTTGGGAATTTTCCCTAAACTGACTTAACAGAATTATTGCTCAAACTGGACTCAACAAGGAGAGAGAGAGAAGCCCAAGGTAGGACCTCATCAAATAGAGGACTCAGAGGAGCCTGGCTAAAGTTTTGGTCAAAAGACAGTCTTTGTCAGTATTCAATCAACTGCCTCGCGTCGTGACTTAAATGTTTCCATATATGTGTGTCTCTAAATATTATAATTTCTGAAGAACAGATATTCTCTCAAGTTAAATATGAAATAAAGATATAACAAAGAAGGGCCAGCTCCCGGATGGAAACGAGGCCTCCCAGCGTGGCTATAACAGACACTCCCAGAACTCTGGGTCCAGTCTTTAATGTGGCTCCTCCTGACATTCTGTCTGAATTTCATTAAAACTGACTCAAAGTGAGCCAATGTACAGAATCCTGGAGTGGCCATTTACCATGAGAAACATAACAGCTAGAGACAAAAGTACTAATTAGTGGGCATTTGGGACTTTGCCCCAAAAAAGGAAGACTACCTAAGAAGTCAGATCAAAAACATAACATTGCCTGGAGAGGCCAAGAAAGAGGCGGTCACTGGCAAAGATCTTGGCTGGATCAGTTAAGTAACAATCCTCTGGCATGCCCAGCCCACTGTAGGGAAAGATGCGCCAAGACAACTGGGCATCTGTGGCGGCTGCTCAAGGTACCATCTTCTCAGGGAATGTGGGTGCATTCTTTACTCACTGGGCCAAACCCCTTATTTTACTTACATGCAAATCATTCTGCTTTAATCCCTTCTGTCAAAATGTGGTACATTATCTAACATATTAATTTGATGAAAATGTTAGCCAGTTAGATGCCAGAAATATGGTGAACAAGATACAGAATGCCTACATTCCAGGAGCTCCCAGTCTACTAGGGGTTAGAGAAAGGAAATAACTAGACAAGTGGTTTCAGTGTGCTAAGTGTGATAAAGGTTACCAGATTACTACTCTATCTGAGATAGCAAGGTACCTAAAAACCTTGAAATGTACGTTTCCTCAGACTGAAATTGTAAAAAATCTGCATTCAAGAGATTAAGAGCAGCCACAAACCAAAGGAATCCATCCCTAAGGTGGCTCAGGAATTTGAATGAGCAAGTTCAGTGACCTGGGTGTGGTCCCAGGGAGGCATGACTGGTATGTGATTCTTAGAAGAATGAGAAATGACCTACCCAACAAGGAGAGAAGGGCTTTTATAAAAGAATAAGATGATTAAAACTCTGAAGATGTTTATCCAATGCTTTTCCTGAGAAAGAGGGGTGATTTGAAGAAAACAAACTGTCCAGTTACTAGAATTACTCTCGGTGGTAAAACAAGGACCATTTATCAGGCTATAAACTCTACAACTATAGTAAGAATTACACCCCAGTGATTTTAACTATCTTATGGCTCATATGCAGAAAAACTGGTTTCTTACTCAAAGTATCAATTTTATCCACTATGTTTTCATTGTTAATTCACTCAAGAAGTTCTAGAAGGTACCCAATTAAAGACCTCTACATATTTCTTTTATACATATCACCCAAAGCAATGCTATATATTAAAATAATGTATTGGATGAATGACTGAATTCCTGTACATAAACTGTAACCTATGCTCACTCTGCTTTACTGAATTTGAGAAGCTTTTACTTTAACATCTAATTCACCTTTAACTGGAGTAACTTCTATTAACATTGGTTTTAAATTATTGGTGTCCTTCCGTTCTGTCAAATAGTTAAAATCTAGTACCTAAATGTACTATACTACAGAATGTACTATCAGAAACCAGTTGGTCTCACATATTAAAAACTATAAAGTATGAATACTTTAAAATGAGCTACTCTTTTCTTTCTGCTAAATCTACATAGTTTGAATATTATTTTTTGAAACACTATGTCAAAAATTTGAGCTAACTGACAAACAGCTTAAATCTTAAGTGTTAAAGTTTTAACCCTGTCTAAATATCTCAATGACAACAAAAACATGGAACTTTTAAAAATGTGTTCTTTGTCATATATCAAAATGTATTTAAAGAAAATGCTGCCCAAACTACTACAGAATCTTTGCAAAGAAGTCAAACTTGAAACTATTCAGCTGAAGAGTTTATATTAGCAATAAATAACCACCCCCAAAAGAAAAAGCTATGGTAACTTACCCAGATAATCGTAAGTATAATATTTACTCCTATAAACATTACTAATGAGCCCCATGTGCTATGACACATTATTTCACTGTAAATTCTTTATAAATTATGTTTAAACTCAGATTTTAAAAATCAATAAAGCATTTTTCAAGATTTTAAGGAATTTATAAATTTCAGAGGTTCTGAATGAATCACAAGCAGCTCTCATTTGCCAATTTATAAATAATCCAATCACTGCTTATGAGCCCTAAGACAATCTATTAAACCTTTTCCAAGTCTTTATAACTGCTGAATGAATTAAGAAGAGTCAGTAAGAACAAGTATAACAAAACAAGTAAAACAAAAAGTAAGAACAACTATAACAAAACATTCCAATCATTTCCACTTGGCATCTATTTTTTTTGACTTCCTAGACATGGGAGTAAATAAACTCACACTCAAACAATAAAGGTAGTCAGTCATCATAGCTTCCAATCTTGAGCTTTTATCCCTACTTCCATCAGCGCAGAATTCCTTTCTGTTAGATCTATCTACATGCTCACAGATGAAAAGACACATTAAGAGAAAAAAACAGGCAAACTGCAGAGGTGGGGCATATGTACATATATATATATGCCCATTTATACATAAAAGGGAGAAGAGAGAATACATATACCAATTGCTTATATATATTCATGGAAAATTTCTGGAAGAACATAAAGGTTCATAGTGGTTATCTCTGAGAAATGTGACCAAAGTGTTCCAGAGAGACTGAGTTGGGAACTCTTACTTCTCTTTATGACCTTTAAAATGATTTTAATTTTTTACCATGATCCTGTACTACACTTACAATAGTAAAGATTTAAAACTCAAAACCTTTCTTCCCTGCCCCACACTATATAAAAGGCCCCAGGAGCATAACTTCTTGGCCTGATGCAAAGCACCAGCCTAAACTGAGTAGCCACCAATAAAGTATATATATATATATATTCTACCTCCTTCCAGAGATAGGGTAACAAAGGCTTGTCTTGCTTTAAAAGAATACCTGATGGAAAGGTGCAGAAAGAAAAATTAGAAAAGGTAATATGGTAATGCCATAAAAATGCTATTATCTCCCACTCCACTTGATTAAGTCATCATTAACTTCAAAAGCAACAGTTTCTAAAAGATAAAAATAGCCAGTGTCAGTAGAAGGTCACTTAAAATACAGGCAATAAGATGTAAAAGAAACGGGGAAAAAAATATATATATATATGTATATATAAAATAAGGATAGAAAAACTAACCTAGACAGGAAAACTAGGGTTTAACTACCTTTAAAAAATAAGTACTTTTGGCCGGGCACAGTGGCTCACGCCTGTAATCCTAGCACTCTGGGAGGCAGAGGCGGGCGAATTGCTCGAGGTCAGGAGTTCGAAACCAGCCTGAGCAACAGCGAGACCCTGTCTCTACTATAAATAGAAAGAAATTAATTGGCTAACTAATATATATAGAAAACATTAGCCGGCGAGACCCTGTCTCTACTATAAATAGAAAGAAATTAATTGGCTAACTAATATATATAGAAAACATTAGCCGGGCATGGTGGCGCATGCCTGTAGTCCTGACTACTCGGGAGGCTAAGGCAGCAGGATCACTTGAGCCCAGGAGTTTGAGGTTGCTGTGAGCTAGGCTGATGCCTCCGGTACTCACTCTAGCCTGGGCAATAAAGTGAGACTCTGTCTCAAAAATTAAAAAAAAGTACTTTTCAATTTCTTATTCATTTCCAAAGTAGCACTATTTTGGGGAAAAATGGAAATTAAAAGGCTACATTTCAGAGATGGACAGCAAATAATGCCATTGCCTCTACCCATGTCAAACATAGTTAATAGAGGACTTCAGAATCCTTTTTAACACAGTGCTACCACCCAGTCAGAGATAAAGCCTATTTGCCCTATATGTCCTATTCCTTTTCTCATACATTTTTGACAATTTACCAGGGAAAACTAAGGTAAGACTAATTTCTTCAGAACATACGAAAATAAAAGTTTGTTTTCTACAGCATTTCAAAAAATCAGAAGTTTGTGTTTCATTCTGCTTTGAGGTCTCTGACTCAGGTTCTAATTTATATAGTACACACACATACATACACACAAATCCGTAAATCTTTGGATCAAACTCTAAAAGTTCATTAAAGAATGACACTTTAGAAAACCAAGTGTTAGTTAACAGGAGGTAATTTCTGAATAGTAAAGGTAAGGATGGGAAGAAAGCATTCTAAAACCCATTATTCCACCCTTGGTGGTATAAGCCAATAAATACAAAGTGTCTACAGGGTAATTTTAAAAGATTTTTAAATGCTCAAACCAGCTGTTCTTACACAGGGTATACAAAGCAGCTTCTGCAGAAACCAGACTCAACGAGTTAATGACAATTACACTGTGCACAGATTGAAATGCAGCTGTTTTTGAGGAACTTTGTTCCTTGATTATAGCCGGTTGTCAGAAACTATCAGTTACCATTAACAATGTTAAGTCACCAAAAACTTTTAAAGTACTGTTTTAAAAAAGAGCAAGAGACTCCCAATGTTGTGTATTGGAAGACCTAGATGACACTTAACAAAAATTGCATTTACACATCATATGAGTTACATATAAAAACAAGCATTTCATCACAATTGTACAAGGCTTGTTATTATGGTCATGGAAACATAAAATGGTCTCAAACTTAGCAGCAAGATCTGGAAAATATTCTCTAAGGCTAACGCTGAAAAGAGTCTCACAACATAGATTGTGTCTACAGGAAATCTTCCCAAAAGAAACCCATAAAAGCCTAACTGGAATGCTAGAGAAGATTTCAAAGATGATTTAAAATAAGGTGGGTAGGCACTTTCCTCCCCTGCCAGCCACATTCTCCCAGATGCCTGGTCTATAGGCTTCTTCCTCCTGGATGTCTATGGGGATTTAAAAAGAGGTTATCTGGAAGATTAAGGCCATGATATGTTCTCAGGGAGCAGACAACTAAAATGTCATCAATGAACAACAGTCTGTTAACTTGCAAATTGAAACATGGTTTCCTGGCAAGCTGAGTGAAGAGACTTGCAGATGCCAGTCATTCTGCCTAGTGGAGCACACAAAAGGTAGAGCTGCAAGAAGAATGTGTTGGTAGTTCCCTGAGCACTAGCACAGGGATGTAAGTCCTCGGAGCAGCAGGCGCTAACTTCCAATTGGTGTGGCACATACCACCTACTGGACATTATCTCCCTCTACAGAAGAACCCAATTTTATAATGCATATCCCCTTTGCAGGGCTTCTTAGTCTGGTCCCATAAGAGACTACCTAAGTGTTCTTTGCCAGGTACACAAGGGCATGAGACTACCTAGGTGTTCTTTGCCAGGTACACAAGGGCATGAGACTACCTAGGTGTTCTTTGCTAGGTATACAAGGTCCCATGTTACACATCCTAACCTCAAAAGGGATCTATGAACCAAAGAGTTAAGACACACACAGCCCTCGGCTTGGCCAACTCCCTCCAAACTTCTAATCTCAACTTATTTTTTCACGTTCCTACATGAGAAAGAAAGAACTCAGCCACCAGCAGAAACAATCAGGTGACCAGGTAATAGCTGTCTCACTATAAAGCAGGGGTTTCTATATAGCTTTTGAGCAAAGAATGACTTTCACATATTTAAATGGTCGACGAGAGGTCAAAGACATTTCATGACATATGAGAACTACACTAAATTCAAATTTCAATGTCCATAAATAAAGTTTTATTAGAATACAGCAAGGCTCATTCATTTACTTTTTGTTCATGTTTTGCTTTGGCACTTAAAACTACAGAGTTGTGCAGTTGTGACAGACCATGATCCACTAAGCCTAAAATATTGACTAACCTGGCCATTTACAGAAAAAGTTTACTTAACCCTCCTATAAATCAACAGATTGGTAGTATGATGTTTATAAACCAACATAATGTATGTTTAGTTAAATGTGCATCAAGCACCAGGTCCTGGTCCCTCAAAGCCTACGAAGTTAAGGATCAGATACACTCACTCCTTAAGAAGTCCCTAACTAGAACAGTGGCTCACGGCTGTAATCCTAGCACTTTAAAGAGGCTGAATTGGGAGGATTGTTTGAGGTCAGGAGTTCAAAATCAGCAGGAGCAACATAATGAGAACCCATATCTACAAAAAAAAAAATTAGCCCGATGTGGTGGCACCCACCTGTTAGTCTCAGCTACTCAGAAGGCTGAGGCAGGAGGATCACTGGAGCCCAGCAACAGAGCAAGTCCCTATCTCAAAAAGAAAAGAACTCATCGACTATACATTTAAATTTGTACATTTCACTAATACGTAAATGTTACCACAAAGGAGAAATATTCTGAAATGAATATTTCAGAATCAGATTTGAAACTTAAAAAAGAAGTCCTTAACTAGAATAGGCAAGAATCAAAAGGAAGAAAAAAGAGGTGTGAGGAGGAGGAGGAGGATAAAGGGTGCTCTAAGACTAAGCAACTTAAAGACCCCATCTAGAAAGCCATGAATTTTTCTCAAAGAAAAACCCCTAAGGCTCCTACTTGGGGGCTAGCATACACTAAGTTTTAAAAAGTTCTAACAAGCTTCTTGTCCGATTTTCAAGTTAATAACCAATAAACAGAAAAGTGACTATTCTGGACAGGCATTTTAACTACAATACATGGTAACAGTGACAGTAAAAGGATCAGAGAGAAATCATAAAAAGAAGTCACCAGAATCTAAACACTTAAACTAGAATCCAAGGATGCACTTAAGAGAATCAATAGAATCCTTGAAAGAGCATGCAAATTTCAATGCCACCTACATTTTCTGGAAGAGAAGTTCCACACGTTTCAGTCTCAAAAGTATGTCCAACTTCAAAAAAGTTACAAGCAAGCCAGGCAAGGTGGCTCCTGCCTGTAATCCTAGCACTTGGGGAGGCTGAGGCGAGTAGATTGCTCAAGGTAAGGAGTTCAAAACCAGCCTGAGCAAGAGCGAGACCCTGTCTCTACTATAAATAGAAATAAATTAATTAGCCAACTAATATATATATATATAGAAAAAATTAGCCGGGCATGGTGGCGCATGCCTGTAGTCCCAGCTACTCGGGAGGCTGAGGCAGGAGGATTGCTTGAGCCCAGGAGATTGAGGTTGCTGTGAGCTAGGCTGAAGCTACGGCACTCACTCTAGCCTGGGCAACAGAGTAAGACTCTGTCTCAAAAAAAAAAAAAAAAGTTACAAGCCACCAGAACTCAACCTTTGCATCATTACACTTTATTCCACTGCAATAACTGATGTTTGTAAAAATGACCATGAATAATGAATAAAAATTTTTAATTGAATTTAGTGTAATTGCTAAACAAAAGCAAACTATGCAGGTAAACCTCAAGCAACCTGCTAATAATATTGCCATTTCTTGCTCCTTATCCTGGAGTAAGGAGCTTAAAAAAATGCCCACTTTATCCTTCAGTTTGGACCCTGACCACTGAAATCCCTATTAACTTCTTAGAAATTGTTAAAAGTCATGAATCTTCAAATAAAATCTGTGCATGACACATTAAATGATCAATATTTTAAAATACTGTTGCCAATTTTGAGTGCTTTCAAGAGAAAACTGTAGGTTAATCCCCTCAACACATAAGCCCAAAAGAGCCTAAGATTTCAAAAATAAACTTACTTTAACTGTCCTCAATCACCTTATCATGACTTAATTCTACCTGAAGAACCAAAAGCAAAAGCATAAATACTGAATGGTTTAAAAGTAATCAAAATCTTTAAGTCTCTGAACATTTGTTGAGTACACATCGTATACCAATAAAGGATTAAAAATGACAATACACAGCCTCTTCCTCATTGACTAAGTTTTCCATTCCAAGCCTGGTAATCTATATTTTTGTTGCTCTGAGGTGAGGAAAGACATAATCATTCAAGTCCTCAGGTAAAAAAAGGCCACAACATGGCCAGAGTCTAGT